ATGCCTACCTGGGCTAAAGTTTCAAAATATAAGGAATAAATTACCACTTGAAATAGATTCTTTCTCTCCCTCAGGATATGTGAACCCTGAGAGTACAATTTCTTCTTTTTTTCTGTTTACAATGGTCACCAGTTGAAAGGTATGTACTAGATCCTCAAGAGAATGAAGACTTGAAAACTGTCTGAAATCTACTTTATTTTTTTAATATTTCCTTTTTTAAAATTTTTTAAAAAGATTTTATTTATTTATTTATTTATTTATTTATTTATTTATTTATTCGACAGAGAGAGAGAGACAGCGAGAGAGGGAACACAAGCAGGGGGAGTGGGAGAGGGAGAAGCAGGCTTCCCGCCGAAGAGGGAGCTCAATTCAGGGCTCAATCCCAGGACCCTGGGATCATGACCTGAGCCAAAGGCAGACGCTTAACCGACTGAGCCACCCAGGTGCCCCTTTTTTTAAGTTTTTTTATTTTTATTTTTGATTATGTTATGTTAGTCGCCATACAGTACTTCATTAGTTTTTATGTAGTGTTCCATGATTCATTGTTTGCATATAACACCCAGTGCTTATTGCAACACGTGCCCTCCTTAATACTCAGGCTAACCCATCCCCCCACCCTCCTCCCCTCTGAAACCCTCAGTTTGCTTCCTGGAGTCCACAGTCTCTCATGGTCACCCCCTCTGATTCTACTTTAACAATTGTTTATTTAATGGTTAACCTGGAGGGAGTAAAGATGAGGAAATACAAACTCATCTTTGAATACATTTTGAATACATACTCATTTTATAAGTCTTGTTTTTCTCACCCTGAATCCTCCTTGCCTGACAAAAGGGAATCTAGGGAATCTGTGTGTACGCCAATTTGGATAAGATGGATGGTCTGTAACTTAGAAAATCTTGCAAGGAAATGAATAGTTTAGAAACTGTTATTTATTGACATCTTTCTCTTTCCTATTGTAAATGGAGAGATTTCTTCTATGAGGGACCTGCCAAGAGAGTGGTTTTAAGAATACTAATTTTAAAAATGTTTCTTTACCCAAATCAATTAAATCAGTTGCTATAGGCTGCAAGAAAGCCAACAGGGGATAATTATGTCTCTTTGGGTTATAATTCCAAAGCTAAACTTGGTACAGGATGGGTTTTCTCTTTGAATCTCTGAATCACCAGGTATTTTATTCTACAGAAATAAAATCACTAGTATCTAAGGACATTTAGATTGGGGTTTTATTGCTATACTTGCTGTATTAGTAAAAAAAGGGGGGATAAACTAATACCCATCAATTAAAAAATGGCTAAATGATGCATGTTATAGCCACATACTGTAATATTATATAGCCATGATTTAAAAAAAAAAGTTATAATCTCTGAGTAGGTTGGATTTCCCCAAGGTATCATGGAAGAGAAAAATCAGTTTATTAAAACTAGTTAATTAAATTAAATTAAAAATTAGTATATTAAAAAATACAAAGAATATGTTGTATCTAAAGAATGTATTGTATCTAAAGAATGTATTGTATCACGTGTGACCTTAAATCTTAACTAAGATGGCAGCAAAACATTATAGAAATGAAATAGTTTGCTTTGAAAATTTTTACTGACTCTTGACTACCCAGGAGCACCCTTAGCTACACAGTTGTCAGAGTCTTGCGGACTCCAAAAATGTTACTAAAATGTTTGGGCTCACGTAAATGTCTAACTTGAATATTCTACTTCAAAAAGAAAATTACAGGCCCCTGGGTCTTATGTGCAACTAATGAATCATTGAAAACATTACACCAAAAATGAATGATAGCTAATTGAATTTAAAGTAAAAAAAAAAAAAGAAAAAAGAAGAAAATTACAGGCCAGTATTCCTGATGAACATAGATGCAAATATCCTTAACAAAATATTATCAAACTGAATTCAACAATACATTAAAAGGATCATACACCATAATCAAGTGGGATTTATTCCAGGAATGCAAGGATGGTTTGACATTCTCAAATCAGTCAGTATGATACACCACATTAACAAAATAAAGGATAAAAATCAGATGATCATCTTGATAGATGCAGAACAAGCATCTGATAAAATTCAACATCCATTCATTATAAAAATTCTCAACAAAGTGAGTATAAAGGGAATGTACCTCAACGTAATAAAGGCCATATATGAAAAGCCCATAGATAGTATGATATGGTGAAACAAAACTCAGGAACAAGGCAAGGATGTCCACTCTCACCCGTTTTATACAGATTTCGAGAAATTAGGCAAGAAAAAGAAATAAAAGGCATCCAAATTAGAAAGGAAGAAGTAAAACTGTCACTATTTGTAGATGACATTATTATATACAGAAGCCTAAAGACTACACACACACACACACACACACACACACAAACTGTTAGAATAAATGAATTCAGTAAAGTTGCAGAATAAAATACCAATATATAAAACTCTGGGCATTTCTTTAAACTAATAACAAAGTATCAGAAAGAGAAATTAAGAAAACAATCCCATTTACAATTGCATCACAAAGAATAAAATATCTAGGAATAAATTTAACCAAGGAAGTGAAAGACCTATATGTTGGGAAAATTACAAGGCACAAAACTAATGAAAACAGAATTAATGAAAGAAATTGAAGAAGACACAAATAAATGGAAATATATTCATGCTCATGGATTGGAAGAATTAATACTGTTAAAATGTCCATACTACCCAAAGCAATCTACAAATCCAAAGCAATCCCTATCAAAATTCCAATGGCATTTTCTGCAGAAATGGAACAAACAACCCTAAAATTTGTATGACAAAAGACCCCAAACAGCCAAAGCAATCTTGAGAAAGAACAAAGCTAGAGGCATCACACTCCTTTATTTCAGATAATATTACAACACAACAATAATTAAAATAGTGATGAGCACTGGGTGTTATACACAGCTGATAAATTATTGAACACTACATCTGAAACTAATGACTTACTTTATGTTGGCTAATTGAATTTAAATAAATAAATAATAAATAGTATGGTATTGGCATAAAAAAGGCACATAGATCAATGGAACAGAATACAGCCCAGAAATACACCCATGTTTATATGGTCAATTAATTTACAACAAAGGAGCAAAAATATACAATGGGGAAAAGAAGTCTCCTCAACAAATGGTCTTGGGAAAACTGGACAGCCACATGCAAAAGAATGAAACTGGACCATTTTCTTACACCATACAAAATTAACTCAAAATGGATTAAAGACTTGAACATAAGACTAAAACCATAAAAGTCCTAGAAGAAAACACAGACAGTAAGCTCCTTGACATCAGTCTTGGTGATTTATTTTTTTATCTGACACCAAAAGGAAAAGCAGCTAAAGCAAAAATAAAAGGTGGGACAGCAACAAACTAAAAAGCTTCTGCACAGCAAAGTAAACTATCACCAAAATAAAAAGGCAGCCTGCTGAATGGAAGAAAATAATTGTAAATCATATAGCTGATAAAGGGCTAATATACAAAAACAGGAATAACTCCTACAACTCAATAGCCGAAAAACCCCCAAACGATCCAGATAGGAAATGGGCAGGAGATCTGAACAGATATCTTTCAAAGAAGACATACAGAAGGCCAACAGACAAGAAAAGATATTCAGTGTCACCCATAATCAGGGAAATGCAAATCAAAACCAGAATGAGGTATCACCTCCCACCTGTTACAATGGCCAGTATCAAAAAGACAAAAGAGAAAAAGTGTTGGCCAGGCTGCAGAGTGAAGGGAACCCTCATGCACTGTTGATGGGAATAGAAACCTACAGGTATATATAGATATATACATACTTATATATACATATTATATATATATGTGTATATAGTAATAGTACTCAGCCACAAGAATGTAATCTTGCCATTTGCAACAACCTGGATGGGCCTCGAGGGCGTTACGCTGAGTGAAGCAAGTCACACGGAGAAAGACGAACACCGTATGCTCTCTCTCATATGTAGATTAAAATACAACAATGAGATACCAAGGTTGCAGACACAGAGAACAGATCGGTGGTTTCGAGAGGAGAGGGTTGGGGGTGGGAGAAATAGGTGAACTGATGGTTTTGGTGGTGTTGGTTTTTTGTTTTTTTTCTCAAGTTTAAAAGAAGTTGAATAAGGATTTTAAGAAAACTGTAGCTAGGCCAGGAGACTGTCAGGATGAAGGATGAAGAGGATGAAGAGAGCAGAATGGGAAGAAGAGCCAGGCGTCTGGATAAGGAAGTTAATGCAAGAGTGTCTCAGTTGAAATTGCTTTTCAACTTCCATGAGGAGGACCAGTTATGATGTTGGCAATGATCACTTTGATATGGACTTTAGCTGACTGGCTATTCTTGTTTTTTTTTTTTTTTTTAAGATTTTATTTATTTATTTGAGAGACAGAGAATGAGAGATAGAGAGCACGAGAGGGAAGAGGGTCAGAGGGAGAAGCAGACTCCCTGCCGAGCAGGGAGCCCGATGTGGGACTCGATCCCGGGACTCCAGGATCATGACCTGAGCCGAAGGCAGTCGCTTAACCAACTGAGCCACACAGGTGCCCCTAGCTGACTGGCCATTCTTAATCTTTTAAGGATAATGGCTACCTGTCTATACTCAAGGACACCTACACAATTAAAATTAGTACAGGCCTTCATCAGAAAACAAACAGCATTCTAGAGTATCCTTCGATTGTGCAGACTTATTCAACGCCTACCAGCTGTCCCATGGAGGACTGAAGACAGTGAGGACCACGCATCTATTAACCAACTCATTCATTCAAGGCAAAGAGAAAAGCAAGTCAAGGAACCTAAAGCAGAAGCATAATTATGTCGGGTCTGAAGGGCAGCAATGGGGCAGTGCAGAACAGAATGAATGGGCGGAAATAAACAATTACAGATAAATATGGAAAGCCAGAGGTGGTTGAGGGGATAGACATCGTAGGGCCTGACAGGTTCTCACTTGCCTTAGGAGAGGCTCCCTAGCTGTTGTGTTACTGCAGGATGGTTCTTACCTAAATATCCATCTCTCTGGGTTTCTGTCTCCATCATCAAAAGCTTTTCTTCTCTCTCCAGCCGGAATATAAGCTCTGGCTTGGAGGGCTGATTCCCTGTAGAAAGGCAAGAAGAGCATAAGTTTTAAGTTTTGATGAAGTCCAACTGATCTTTTTTTTTTTCTTTTCTGAATCATGCTTTTGGGGTCTAAGAACTGTTTGCCTAACCCAAGGTCAAGAAGATTTTCTCCTGTGTTTCTTTCTAGAAGTTTCATACTTTTACATTTTCCAGTAGGTCTATTATCCACCTTGAATCAATTTCTTAGTGAGATGCTAGTCATGGGTATAGATGCATACAGAAGTCTAAATGTTTCATCACCCTCTGTTGAAAAGACTACACTTTCTCCAGTCAATTGCTGTGGCACCTGTAATACATCTAAAATAGCTTCAGAATGGCTTCTTCCATCTCATTACAATAAGCAAATCCACTAAAAATTGTTCAGGATTGCAGTTTGTTTTCTCATCCTCCTCCCACTGTACCTAACACTAAGGGGATATAGTTATGTGCTGTGTTCCTTAGCTATGTCCGTAAGTTCTTTCTTTTCTCTCTTCAGTGTGGTTATGATATTAGTTTCAAATATAATTAATTTCATTTTTCTTTTAGTTTCAGATTATCATCCCTTTGCATTCTTACTTTTTTCTTTCAAGATTTTATTTAAATTCTAGTTAGGGCGCCTGGGTGGCTCAGTCGTTAAGCGTCTGCCTTCGGCTCAGGTCGTGATCCCAGGGTCCTGGGATTGAGCCCCTGCATCGGGCTCCCTGCCCCGCGGGAAGCCTGCTTCTCCCTCTCCCGCTCCCCCTGCTTGTGTTCCCTCTCTCGCTGTCTCTCTCTGTCATATAAATAAATAAAATCTTTAAAAATAAATAAAATTCTAGTTAGTTAACATATGGTGCAGTATTAGTTTCAGGGATAGAATTTAGTGATTCATCAGTTGCATATAACACCCAGTGCTCATTACAACAAGTGCTCTCCTTAATGCCCATCACCCAGTTACCCCTCTTACTTTTTTCTTCTTATATAATTTGTATAATGTGTTGAAATAATGGATTTTCAAAGGTCCAAACCAGATAGAAAGGCACATTCAAAGGCGTGTGACACGTAACTTCCACACTCTTACCTCCCACCCACTATATGAAACTAACTTCATGAATCTTTAATTAATCCTTCTTAGGTTTCTTCTTATAAAGACAAGCAGATATATGTAGGTTTCCTTATTTCCCTTCTTTCTTACATGAATTGTAGTATACTATTAATGCTCTTTTGCACTTTGCTATCTTTAGGGAAAATTCCTAGAAGCAAACTGCTGGGAATATTGCTGGATAATTGTCAAATTCTCCTCCTTCAGGACTGTTTCATTTTGCTTTCCTACTTTCAGTGCATGAGGGTGCTTCATTTCCCACAACTTTGCCCAAAAAAGTACAGTGCTGAGTGTTTGAATTTTTGCTCATCTCATGCGTGAGAAATGGTATTTCAGGATAATTTTACTTAACATCTCCTTTATGTACAATGAAATTGAACATCTACTCACGTGTGCATATATGTATATGAATATATGCACATGCACATGCACACACACACTCCTACCTACTAGTTCTAACCCCTGAGACCAAGAAACAAAGCCACCACAGTAGCAGTGGCAGTACCTAGCATTCAGACCTTGTTGTTAAATACCATTCTCCAAGAAAAGGATGATTCCAGAGCCGGGGTATAAAGTAAAAGATGAACACAGAACAGCATCTATGCCATAAAGTAAGGAAATGCTCAAAAAAAATGGTGGATGAGTAATATTCCATTGTATATATGGACCATATCTTTATCCATTCGTCTGAAGGGCATCTCGGCTCTCTCCACAGTTTGGTTATTGTGGACATTGCTGGAACACTACCTCAAAAACTAATGACGGTGACTAACATAATATATTATATAATAAAATAAAATAAAAAATGGTGGAGGCATATTACAAAAAACCAAATTTGGAACAATTTTAGCATCAAAATAATTATGGTAATATTAGAAGCCATTTTTTAAAAAAACAATTCACAAGTCCCTATAAATAAATAAATAAATGATTAAGGCATGTGGGACTCTTGCTTACTGTAGAATGCCAAGAGTGGATTGCTAATGCAATCAGGAGGTACTAAAGAGGTACTAAGGTAGAAAATCATTTTGTAACAATCATGGTAAAGACCAGATAAGGCAAGGGTCATCACTGGATGCTAAATCTATAGGGAAATATTTGTGTGGTCTTAAAAAGTGTTGCCTTATGATTGCAAGAGAAACAAAGCAATAATTTTATAGTGGAGAAATTGGACATCTTGACTGAGTGATCAATGAGGGACAGATAGTGTGCCTCTACATGTGATAGTCTCAAAAGGACTACCAATGTCGAGTTCCAGCCAGAATGGATCATCTGAACCTAATTATAAGGAAGTATTAGGAATGTTATCTGAAAAATGGGGGGGGAGGGGGGAAATAACAGTATTCTTCCAAAATGTCTACTGTTATAAAAGACAAAGAAATTGCTGTGGAAATGCTCCAAATTAAACGAGGCTAAAGAGACATGACAGTCAGACTAAACTCAAGACTAGACCTTACTCTGGAGAAAGAAAAATATGCTTTTAGGAATATAACTGGATCTACTGATAAAATCAGTAAAATACTGGGTGCCTGGGTGGCTCAGATGGTTAAGTGACTGCCTTCAGCTCAGGTCATGATCCCAGGGTCCTGGGATCGAGTCCTGCATCGGGCTCCCTACTCCTTGGGAGCCTGCTTCTCCCTCTGCTTCTCTCTCTCTCTCTCTGTCTCTCATGAATAAATAAAATAAAATCGTTAAAAAAAAAATCAGTAAAATACTTGGATAAAAGTATTATATTTGCACTGGGAATATGTAAGAGAATATTCTTATTTCTACAAAATACATTGTTCAGTGAAGAATTAATCTTGCTCAAAGAGAGGTCTGGTCTTTGTCCTCAGCTCTTGGGAAGTGATCTCTAAGTCCTTGGGATTTCCTGTCTGGTAAGAGTGTCTTTCTCACGCGGAGGCTTTGGACAACACCAGATTGCTTACCAATGTGATTTATGGTGGGGCCTTTGGGCTACCTGCTGTCAGCTTGATTTCCAGAGGGGCTAGAAACTAAGGTCAGACACACAGGTGTCCAACCACATCTATATGGCCAAACCACAGTAAAAAATCTGGACACCAAGGCTCATGTGAGCCTCCCTGGTTGGTAATACTCCATGTATACTATGACTTGTCTTTGCTGGTAAGAGTTAGTACTATCTATGACTCCTCTGGGAGAGACAATTACAAGTTGGTGCTGGAAATCCACTGGATTCTACCCCAGGTGCCTCTTCCTTGGCTGATTTTAACTTGTACCCTTTTCATGTCATAAAGTGTAACCATGAGTATAACAGCTTTCAGTGCCTTCTAGTGAATTATTGAGACTGAAGGTTATCGTGGGGACCCCTGAGCTTACAACTGGTGTCAGAGTAAGAGAAGTCTTGGGGACTTCCAAACTCTGCATATATACTGAAGTATTTAGAGATAAAGGGCAATGGTGTATATAAATTACCCTCAAATGGTTCAGAAAAAATATTATGAATATACATGTTTTCATATATACACACAAATATATATGGAGAGAGAAAAAACATGGTCATAAATAAAATAAATGGGTAAAAATATTATTATAAGTGAATCTAGGTAAAAGCTATAGGGGTGTTCTTATTCTTTACTTTTGCAAATGTTCTGTAAGTTTGAAGTTATTTACAAAAACACTGTTAAAGGAAAAACCAAAATACCTCTGAAAAATCAAGTTAATAAATAGTTATTGTTACTGGCACCCTGGAAAAACAAAAACAAAAACTAGGGCAACTCACTAAACTGACTTCATGACAAACAACAGGGCTGGACCACAATTTGCCCAGTTACATAGCTCGAAGGACAGAAACAGCTTGTCGGTGTTGTATGGGGATTATTAGGACTCTTATTTGCCCAAGCTCAGGGGATGATTTCAAGAGTCTCAGAGCTTCAAACACCCAAGACACCCCAGGGGGCTGACTTTCAGTCACCAAGCACCTGTCCTCACCCACAGACACCAGGTTCCTGAAGTTTTCCAGCATCACGTCTCGGTACAGCTTCCTCTGGGTAGAATCCAGCAGCCCCAGCTCCTCCTCACTGAAGACCACCGCCACATCCTTAAACATCACCGGCTCCTACAACACCAAACACATGCAGACTGTTTATGGAAAAGGGGCAGCACTGAGAAAGCGTCAGGGATGGGAAGCTGTTCTAGAATCTGGGGGACGGAGTCAAAGTAGCTGCCTTCTACACCGCTCACTCAATCCACCAGAAGGGCTGCAAGAAAAGAAATCCTTGCAGATTATATTGCTGCCAAACAAACAAACAAATAAATAAATAGCTGCCTTTTGTTAGCGCTCCTATAGGTAAGTCCCTGGAAATCTGCTGCATTGCAGGCTACTATAATTTTAAATTTTACCAAGAACGCCATTTGCCCCCAGAAAAGCTTTAGTTCCAATAGTGTGTGATGGATTCTCTCTTTTACACATGCACACATTTCACTTATTTAATTTGCCAAACATAAAGGCTATTGGTCACTCTTACTGTTGAAGTATGTAGTTCATCCTCCGTGCCCCATCTGCAGTGTGCAGCGGTGGTGTGGGCACAGTCCAGAGCCTGACTCCCTGTACTCACAATGGAATGCTCTGCCTCGTGCTAGCTATGTGCCCTTGGAGAAGTTCTTCATTCTCTCATCCTCATGCTGATACCTACATACCATAGGGTACTGATAATAACATGAGTGACTATAGGTAAAGCACTTCGGAGCAGTGCCTGGCAGAGTACCCAATAAATGTTAGCTATTATTATGATCATGTCTGTCATCCCAATGCAGCGCCGTATAGTAAATCAATGATTTAGGATGTGATTAACTCATCCAAATAATGCGCACTTAGCTTTAGATTATCTATCATAAACAACGTCGCAACAAAAATCGTTTCGTATTGACCCTGGATTATGTCCTTAAATTCCAAAAAGTAGAAATGGTAATGCTGAATGACAACTTTCAGCATTTTGATTCAATGACAGGTGTTCCCTCCAAAAAAGATTTTTCCAGCTTATTCTTCCAAGTATAAATCAGTAAACCTCTATACCTTGGCCAACACCAGATATGAATACTTAAAAAAAAATCTCTGATAATCTCAGAAGTAAATTTGGGAAGTAAAAACCAGTTATTTTGAAAAATTTTCACAAAGTTGATTAGTAATGAAGACCATTCTCTTTTTGTGTATTTGCTGGTCATCTTTTGTTCTTGTTGTATTCAAAATATTCATTTTGGGGACATTAAGTCCTTTCCTCCAAATATGTTGTAAATATTTTTCATTCTACTTGGCTACTTGCTTGTAACTTTTTACTGCAGGGAAATGTAAATGTTTTGTATAAAGACCTTTGTTCTGGCTGGAGCTCCAAATGCCACAATGTCAGGCCTTGGTCTCTGAATGAGAACTCTGGTTCGGTTTTGGATTTTGTTCTGTTTTGCCCTTCTTTCCTCCAGTATCTCTTTCCTGATACTCTTTATCCAGAAGGGAAAGGCTTTGGAGTTGGCTGAACACTTGTCTGCTGTACGAACTTGAGCAGGAGTTGAACTTCCACGAATCTCTTACCTTCATGTTAACGGTGCAGATTATTCTAAATCGCCCTTGGAGCAGTGAATAAAGTGACAGGTGGAAAGTGCCTGCATGTCCTACAGTAGGACTACAATTTTTAAATTAAGTACCTGTATTGCTCTAATAAAATAAATACACGAAGGGCGAAACACACAAAAGTACACAAATGTACACAGACACACACAGAGAAAGCTTCAGATCTTGGGAAGAAAAAATCTAGCTCTTTTTGTATGAAAATATTGCACAATTTTTTTCTGAGTTCATTTTCTGTATGATCCTGTTAGACAAAACCGTCTCTTAGGTATTCTTTTTGTAAAGCACCTCAGGCACCACTTAGGAGAAAAAAAATTTTTTAGTTTTGAGTCCCTACAACAGAAGGACAAATTATATTAGAATTCTCTCAGAATTACTTTTTTTTAATCAACTTTTCTTTTTTTTTGTATGTATATTTCTTTATTTTTAAATTTCAAAAGCTGTAGTAGAAATACAAGAAAATAGAGCTTCAGTGCAAGAAAATGGAGCTTCAGTGTAAAATCAAGTTTTCATCTATAATTTCTGTACCAGGAATGGACCTTAAAATGACAAAATGACCTAGCGAAATTAAGACCATATTTTGAGTTCGGAATTGCTTTTTGTGGGGCACCTGGGCATCTCAGTCAGTTGAGCATCCAACTCTTGGTTTCGGCTCAGGTTATGATTTCAGGGTCATGGGATCAAGCCCCACATCGTGCCCCATGCTCAGTGGGGAGTCTGCTTCAGAGTCTCTCCCTCTCCTTCTGCTCCTCCCCCTGCTCTCTCTCTCAAATATTTTTTTAAAAATTGCTTTTTGAGTAAAGATTGTATGTAGCAAAACTGATACTTCTGCATAAAACTGCGAGAATCCTCAAGAACTTAAAAACTTGGGAATGTGGAATAGTAAAAACTAAGGGGGGGACAGCATCCACTAAAATAATATTAGCTGGCAAAATTAGGTGCTATAATTTTAAGTGAAAAAAATTCAAAATTATATCTATTATTGTATATAATAATACATACAAAATGACTGTGAAAAAAACAAGTAATTTATAAGCAGAGTGATGTGTGGGCTTTTTCATTTTTAACTTTCTTTTTTTTTAAGATTTTATTTTTAAGTAATCTCACACCACTGTGGGGCTCGAACTCACAACCCTGAGATCAAGAGTCACATGCTCCACCGACTGAGCCAGCCAGGTGCCCCCATTTAAAAATTTTCTATTCTCTTTTACGCTATTATTTGTAAAAATAAAATGATAATAAGACAAAAACTGAAAAGAAAAAGGTTTTATTTTTCTTTTAAGATTTTATTTATTTGACAGAGAGAGAGACAGCGAGAGTGGGAACACAAGCAGGGCGAGTGGGAGAGGGAGAAGCAGACTCCCTGCTGAGCAGGGAGCCCGATGCGGGGCTCGATCCCAGGACCCTGGGATCATGACCTGAGCTGAAGGCAGATGCTTAACACCTGAGCCACCCAGGTGCCCCAGGAAAAAGGTTTTAAAAAGAAACAAAAAGCATGGCACATAAATGGTTAACGTCTGCTGAAATTCTTTAGTCTTGGCAAGGAAGAGAAAAAAGGTGTCCACCTAAGAAGTGCAATAAAATGTTCAGTGACAGAAATAAAAATCCGGCTCACCTGGAACTTGATCATTTTCTCCTCCTTTTCCTAGGGAAAGGCAGAGACCTGAGAAGGCAATACAAGGTAATAAGAAAGAAGCCATGAGGAAAAGGGAAATGTATCTTTGTGTAAAATAGACAAGTGTCCCTTGCCCCAGCAGATGCTGCCACACACACCTTGGCAGGCCAGGTGTGGGCTGGATTCCAGCGAACATGAGGTTATCCTGGCAGGATGCCCTCATGCATGGGACAGTCTGCACAGTGATATTCAGCACCCCTCACAGACCTCTCTGCTCCTAAGGAACTTACTCTGATCCTGGAAAGTGTGGAAAAGGAGAGGCAGTGGAATGTACTGGTTAAAAGTGGACTCTGGGCACAAAATTCAGTTTCAAAATCTGGCATTGTTGTGTATTTGCTGTACATTTGCTATATGTTGGCACTGCTACAGAATAAACATATGTAATATACAATGTATAGGACATATATGAGTACAACATTTACTACATAATATGCACATATATTTAACCATGGTTAATTAATTAACCTCTCTAGGCTTCATTTCTGTAATCTGAAGCATTAGGACCATAACAGAACCAACATTATCAGATTGCTATTAGGATTACATGTGAATAAAAGAAAAATGTTGTAATTATACCTATGTTCTCTAGACATTAAAAATAGAGCTATTCTACGACCCAGCAATTGCACTACTAGGTATTTACCCCAAAGATACAGATGTAGTGAAAAGAAGGGGCACATGCACTCCAATGTTCATAGCAGCAATGTCCACAATAGCCAAACTGTGGAAGGAGTCCTTCAACAGATGAATGGATAAAGATGTGGTTCATATATACAATGGAATATTACTCAGCCATCAGAAAGGATGAATACCTACCATTTGCATCAACCTGGAAGGAACTGGAGTGGATTATGCTAAGTGAAATAAGTCAAGCAGAGAAAGACAATTATCATATGGTTTCACTCATATGCGGAACATAAGGAATAGCACGGAGGACCATAGGGGAAGGGAGGGAAAACTGAATGGGAAGAAATCAGAGAGGGAGACAAACTATGAGAGACTCTGGACTCCAGGAAACAAACTGAGGGTTACAGAAGGGAGGGGGTGGGGAGTTGGGGTAACCGGGTGATGGGTATTAAGGAGGGCACGTGTTGTGATGAGCACTGGGTGTTATACGCAACTAATGAATCGTTGAACACTACATCAAAAACCAATGATGTACTATACAGTGGCTAACAGAACATAATAAAAAAAAAATCAGATACTATTCTCCATCATAAAACCGTCCTTATAAATGTGTCTCGTAAGACATCTGGGCGGCAAAGATGGCCTCTTACTTAATAATCTGTTGCCCCCATAATAACGTTTGTTTAGACATTGAGACCACCCTTCTGAAAAGTTTAATGACTGATGGATATTCTTTTTTAAAATTATTTTTATTTTATTATTTATTTCTTTTCATTTGAGTATAGTTGACACATAATGTTACATTAGTTTCAGGTGTACAACACAGTGATTCCACAAGTTTATACATTATTCTATGTTCACCACAAGTATAGCAACCACCTGTCCCCATATTCTTCTTGAAGCCAGAGGAGTCTCAGATAGCATATCCCTCTCCTACATGGATATAATGAAAGATTAAAGAAGCCTGTGATGCCACTATATTGCTCTTATCTGTGTAAAGCACTGGCTCAGCACTTGATGCTTGCAAGGACTTGGGGACCAGAAGTTTAATTTCTTGGGCAAGGTTATTTATTGTTTTCAACAGGTATTTACTGTTATTTACTGTTTTCAAGCAACTTCAAGATCATTTGTGGAAGAGAAAGAACTCAAAAAAGGGCTGATCGTGGCCTGTGAATAAGGTAGAGCCTTCTTGCACCACCTTAGAGACAGGTCTTCTCCCCCAGCAGAGTCCCCCTCTCCTCCTGAGTCCCTGCCTACATAGCCCACAGCTGAAGAATCCACGGAATGTATGTACAACTACCAAGAACAAGTATTGACTTGGCTCTGTAGTTAGCAGTGAAAGAGTTGAGTTTTCTTTCACTTACCCAATATTTATAGATCACCTTCTGAGAGGGATATAGTTCCTAGATCTCTAGTTGCTCAGAGCCTAAGTGTGGGAGACCAATTAGAAAATGAGCTATTACACGCTGACAGATACCAGAGTAGAGTGTAAACAGGGTCCTTTGGGGAAACATGGAAAGGGTCCCCAGACCTAGCCTGGATAAGGGAGAGAGATGGGCTCAATGAAGAAAATGAGGCCTGATGTTAGCCCTGGAGGATGACGGTGCCATATTAGCCACTCAAAGCTCAACAGGGTACTCAAACAGAACAGTACTCAAACAGAAGAGTACTCAAACAGACGGTACCTGGGGCAAATAAGAAGCCGAAAAGTGGTGAGAAGTCAAGAGCCAAATCACATGCTTTAGAGGAATTGCCTTGTTTCAGCCTCACAACAACCCAAAGGATTAAGACAATTTTTACTGTTGAGAATATTGAAGCATTGAGAGGTTTTTGTTTTTGTTTTTGTTTTAATGGCAGCACTAGGGCTTATTAAGCTGTGCCTTAGTACAGGCGCTGGGGTTTGGCCATGATGCTCTTGATGTATAAAGCCCAGATGTTCTGTCAGTTTTTCTTGAGCAAGGACACCAGGAAATTGACAGCTAAGTGGATGTTGTATACAAGCTCATCATCTGTCATCTTCACATGGCTAATGGCCACTGACAGACACAACACCTTCTTCATTTGGAATTTGATTGTGGACTTCACTTCATCCACTTTGGCCACCATGTTCTCATTGTGGGTCAACAAGGAAGGGAACTTGCCAGGCTTATTCAGGCCTGGGCCCAGAATTCGTGGATCTGCTTGATCAGGGACCCTAAAGCCAAAAGGGCATCATACTTCTTGGCCAACTTCTTGACTAATTTTTTATTCTTACTGAGTCTTCAGTGCCTCCATGCCCATGTGGGGAATATCCACAGCCTTGACCTCATCACAGTACTGCTGATCCCCTAAATCACACATGGAGAACTTAGGGCAAGGAGTAGACTTAATTAAGCCTGATGGTGCCCAAGGAGGGTTTGTCCTTCTGAGGGTCATAGTTCTTCAGGCTGGTTTGCAGCTCCACAGTCTCTGAAAACTTCCAGTGCTTGTGCTGGTTGCCGTGCAGGACTTCCCTCATTGCTTCGTACAGCCTGTCCCAGGAGACTTTGCTGCTCATGCTGCTGCACACTGCAGTAACTGGAAAAGCTGAAGCATTGAGATTTTAAGTTATTTATTCATAATTATCCATTCAGTCAGCAGAGCAGCCAGGATTATCATCCCAGAGTCCATGTTCTTAATTACTAGGATGGTGGCTTTCAATCTACCAGTTCACTGGTTATCGTTGGGAAGTTAATAAAAAAATGAAAACAAAACCAATGCCCAGGACCCAGTGCAGGGTCTATAAATTGGTATCTGTGGAGGAAGAGTTTTCATGAAAATGAATCCCCTTCCCCTCAGGTGACTATATTTTGCAGAAAGGGTTGCAAACATAGATTCTGAGATTAATAGAGGCAGTTTGCAAGCTGAGCCTATGCAATCAACCATTAGATCATTCAGCCTCTCAATGAGTATAGGGAATGACTGGAGAACACATAAGCCAGGAGCAGAGCAGGGTCTGGGACTCAGGCCTTATGACTCCCAGCTCCCCACTGCTCCCCATTATAAGGTGCTCCTGGAGTTGTCTCTAAGGGTTGTGGATGTTTCTTCAGGCACATACTCAGCATGAATACAGGCTTCCAGTTTAGACTTGCCTGATCAGATTTATCAAGCAATAGGAGTTACTAATCACCCAAGGGACTTTAAGAATTCAGAATATGAAGCAACTCATGTTAAACAGGCATTTAAACAGTGGTCATCCCACAGAATGTTGTTTCTGTATATGTTAGAGTTAGTCTGATTATATCCCTTTCTTAGTTAAAACATGTGCATGGCTGCCCAGTGCCTTTAGAATAAAGTCTAGATTCTTAGCAAGCCATCCATAGAGGAATCTTCCATGTCTGCTCTCCCCTGTAAACTCCAGCTGTGTAAATCACTTGATCTCACAGGAAAGCCTCCAGGATTTTGTATGTGAAGAAAGGATTTACAAAAACGAGTATGGGCAGTAGTTTGCCCCCATGCATCCTAGATCTTCTTAGCTTTTTACATCAGCTTATATGTCCCCTGTTCTAAGATACCTTTTAACAGGCTTTGCTACAGCCTTATCAACTCCTAAAACCCATTTTGCCAGTCTAATAAAAGCAGAGTGTTTTGGCCAAGAGCCTAGCCTACAGAATCAGGTTGCCAAGTTTTATCAAGATTCTGCCACTTACTAGGAGAGTAAACTTTGCAAGTTAATTAACCTCTTGATGCTTCTGTTTCTTCATCTGTAAAATGGAAGATAAAAGTAGGGTTATTATGAAGAACAAATGAGCTAATGCATCCAAGCATTAGAAAGTCAGTGTAGTTCATAATAAGCACCCAACAAATGTTAGCAGTTATTACTATTATCCTCGTTGTTGTCACCACGAAATAAATATAGAAGCCACATATCAGCCCTAGTTTGCTTTTAAGAATATTTATTTTAGGTCAGTAATTGTCAATAGGCATATACCAGCTTTTGAACATTCTGAAAAAGTGGGTGGCTTCAGCATCCTACTCAATCTGATTGAGATAAAGGGCAGGAAATACTTATATTGTTTGTTTCTCTCACATCCATTTTCAGAAAATTTGAATACAACCTCACTGAGCTGAAGGTCCCTGTTCCTTGATGCCTGTTGGAAAGCTAGACAAACCACAAACAGGTATTGAATAACTCCTCTCTGCCGAAACCTATACTTGGCAATAAGCGCAGTGAACTTGACGTAGTCCCTACTACATAGAAACCTGCAACTGAGTGGGACAGACAGAGCAGAAACACCAGTGAACTCAAAGACAGGTCAACAGAAATGATCAGAACTGAAGCTCATGAAAATTAGGTGCATTCTGTTGTTTATTTCATGGTGTGTTCTGGAAATGTTAATAGTATTGTTCAGATCTTTTGTATTCTTACTGAACAAGCCTGCTTGTTCTATCGGTCACTGAGAGGAGTACTGAAATCTCCATATGAAATTGTGGATTTCTCCATTTCTTCTTTTCTCTCTTCTTCTTTTAGTTCTGTCCAGTTTTCTTCATGTAGTTTGAAGCTATGTTGTTTTGTGAATACACATTTAGGACTATTAAGTCTACTTGATGAACTGACCCTTGGTGTAAGTGTCCCTCTTTATCCCTGGTAG